TTGCCGCTGTCCGACTCGGACTTCTCGTCCGACGCGGTCCCGTTCATCACGTGCCGCTTGTGCAACGTGTACGGTATCTCGACGTTGGTTTTCTGGATGGCCGCGCTGTCCGAGAACGGGTCCTCGTCCCCGGAATCGGCCGGCGTCAGGTCGATGGACTTTTGATGCATCAGTATGTGCCGTTTGTTGTTCGAGCTTAATCTCTGTCGCGCGGGATTCGGGTCGCTCTTGGTACGCTCGACCGGCGTGTGGCCCGGTATCGTGTCGTCGAAACCCAGCACCATGCCGCCCACGATCTTCGGCTCGTACTCGGTGAAAGTGGCCTTCGATTTCTGCAAGTTCTCCATCTCGATCGGCACGCCGATCACCGTCTCTGTCCTCGACTCTATCGACAGCCTCGCCTGTTGTCGTTCCCTCTCCCGCTTCTCCTCGTCCTTCCGCGCCTTCTCCAAGCTCCTCCAGTCGTCCCTCTCGCGCGGTTTCTCCTCGGACTTGCTCCCCCTCTGCCCTTTGCTCTTCCTCGACTCTTTGTACTCGAGCCTCTCCACGCTGTTTCTCCTCCAGTCGTGCGTCTCCTGTTCGTCGAAGCACTCTAGACTTCGCCCTCCTCCTCCTACTCGCGAATCGAACCTGTCCAGATGATACTTTCGCGACTCGCGCGAGTCGAGTCGTTCGACGTGGCGTCGCTGCTCGCGCGAGTCCAGCTTCTCCAAGCTCTTTCTCGCCTCTGCCTTCCTCTCGACCACGTGCTCCTTGGACGAGACGAGGCTGTTGCGCCTCTCCAGAGACTTGAGTCGCTCGATGGTGACCGGGTCAAAGTCGAAGGTCGGTCGACTCTCCTGCGAGTCCAGTCTGTCGACGCTCTTGCCACGATGATGCTCTGCCCGGCTGCCGGCGCTCAGCCGCTCCAACGGGCTTCTGTTCCCGGAGTCGAAACGCTCCAACGTGTGCCTCTGATTGTAGTCGATCGTGTTGCTTCGACTACCCGGGCTTCTCCTCTTCTCCCTCGAGTCCAGTCGCTCCACGCTTCTCTCCCGTCGTTCTTTCGTCGTCGTCGTCGTTCTCTCCTTCGGGCTTCTGCTGTTCACGTACTCGGTGCTGGCGCGCAGTAATCCCTGGTAATCCAAACGCTCGAAGCTCTTGCCGCGCAATTCGTAGGGATCGTGAGGACGGGAGGACGATCTCTCCTTCGAGTCCAGTCGCTCGTAGCTTCTCTCGCGAACGTCCAGCCTCTCGATGCTCCTTCGCAGTTCCCTCGCGTCGACGCTGCGACGGCTACGCGAGTCGAATCGCTCGATCGAGCGACGCTCCGTCGTCCTCTTGCTGCTCTCCCTCTCCGCGCGTTTCCTCTCCTTCTCTTGCAACTTTGACAACGTCTTCTCGAGTTGTTGTTTCGCCTCGGTGGTTTCGCTGCTCTCGCGGCTCGATCTCCGATCCCTGCTCCCGGCTCCCACCGCACCACCGACGACG